GATGGTAACTTTGTCAACATATTTGTTGACAATTTACAATTAAAAATATTTCTTAATATTTTCATTGTTTCAGCTTTCTTTTTGTAGCAACTTAAATATGTTAAGTGACGTTTTTAGTAGCAACAAGGGCAAAGATAGAGTATGGTAGCTGATATCCAATATTTCCATGCAGTAATACACAGGACTTGTCCTACCAGCCATTAGTCCAGGCAGACCTGCATGTTTCTCGACCTACTAATTTATAAAATGAAACCTAACATAAGGTGCATTCAGAGAATGTGCTCTAGAACTGGGTCTTTCTATAATGAGTTTGTATTAATAGGGAAAGCCTGATAAGGCATCATCTTGGTTTTAGAATTTTCTTTGTCTGCTTGCAAGCAATAAATCCATCTTATTTATGTCAATGATATCATAGAAGAAGTTCCCCAGGTGAAAGAATAAACTCTGATTCATTTTGCATGACAAGGGTGATTAATGGGGAAGAGATTATTAGGAAATCTTCTAGCTAGCTTCTAAAGCCTCTCTTTCTTAATGCAAGAGTTTATTACACAGTGTCAATTTATGATCACATCCTGTTTTTCTGTCACTCATTTTCAGGATCATTCAGGTTTCTGCAGTGCTCCTAGACTCTGTCATCCAACATGTACAAAACAATGTAAATGATCTGTGTGTGTTTGTACCTACCATCCTTTTGCTGGCTAAGTGTCAAGTAATAATCACTCCATCCCCATAGATGGTCAATAGAAAGAATAAATCTTTACTATTGGGAAGCTGAGCAGGATCTAAACTTAGGTCTTTGGAATGAATTGCTCTCTATAGAAGTCTTTTTTTTTTTTTTTTTTTTTTTTTTTTTTTTTCCCCTTGCAGACCAAATATCAGAAGAAAGTGGTCAAAAGATGAGTAGTATAAATATGTATACCCCTACTGCATTTGTGTGTGTGCGTACAGAAATATTCATTTCTACTGAAGAATCTGCATAAAATTCTGATTCTATTTTCCATGAAATTCATTCAATGTTGCTTGATATGTCTGTGTCACACACACTGATTTAAAATTATTTGTGATTTACCTCAATGTTCTTCCACCTAAACAGGAGAGAACAGCTAGTAAACATCTTGCCAGAGATTTTCAGACCATAGAGAGCCCAAATGCAGATAAGAAAAGGACTCTGCAAGGAAAAAGGTGGTTAAAGTGCTTAAAAGCCCACAATATGCCCCTGTGATACTATATGTGGTTAACATTCTCAAGAACCTTTTAAGCTATAGCTTTCACCCCAGCTGAGCCTTATAGGAAGCAACGTGTCCCCAGGGCATCATGCTGTGAGACAATGGAGTCAGAAAGAACAGTTTTGTTAGCACTGGTGCACTCTTTTTTCTTGGTGAAGTATGTAATGGTGCTCACTGGAGGTTTTATGAAGAACACTTCAAGGTATGTTAACTGAAAACTGAAATTACGCAGATTACACTTTGAGCTCACATCAAGGGATTATGAGGATAAGGCTGAGTAATTAAAAAAGAAAACCTCTCCTGGGTAAGAAAGGCAATAGGCCAGCATTATGGAGACCTGAAGTTTTTTGCATGCAGTTACTGAAACACACAACAGATACTTGGTAGAAAATCAGGAGTGAAGCAAAGATCTTTCACTTAGAGAGCTTTTTATTGCCATGTAATGATTTATCTATCTATTTATTTATTTAAATATATCTGTTAAATTATTGTGTCCTGTATCAACCACTTCCTGCCAATCTCTAGTTTAACAATGCATACTGTTTCACAATGTATTTACTACACTGTGAAGTAAATGGGCTTAATTTTGGAGTAGTAATCTCTTCTGATTTAGAGGGGTAAATGCTAACATTTATAGCCAGGGAGACTTGACAGGGTAAAACAGTTTATTTTTCCCCTGCACAGTTCAAAATACTGATGCTTATTGCACTTACTGCACTTTTGTGTTATATGAAAGAACCACTTGTGTGGATATTAAAATTTTGAAGATGAAAGAAAGTCTTTCCAGCATTCTTTTGACCTTTGATGATGCACTGCAACATCAAAGTTTCTTTTATAGCTTATATGAAACAATGTGTTGGGAAAAGAATAAGGCAGCTTGTGTAGGATCAGTGGACCAGAAATAATAATGGAAGGGAATTTTACCTTATACTTTTTAAGTGTAAACAAGAATGCCCTTTTTTAGGGAAATGGGTAATTCAAAAATTTACTTAATACTACCTAATCATAGTAACTTGGTATTGGTATAGTCCTTTTTCATGACACTGTGGGACATAGATTTTTTTTTTTTCCAAAATTAATTCAGAATTTAGAAATATTTTCTAGCATTTTCATTTGAATTTGGCTCACTTTACGTTTGAATTTTACGTATTCACCTATCATCAGACACAAAACTCAGTTTTTGGAGTTGATTATAGCTTAAATTTCGTTTCAGATCAATGATGACAGATGTCTACTTCATTGCTGACTTTAAAGCCATAAAACTAGCACTTAGTTTCAAAGTTGAACTGTGGTATTGCACACTACTTTTAAAGTCCATGTCATCACAGGAGTACATGTATTTAAACTGAGATGACCTTTATATACCTGACTTTTTGGATAAGTTTGCTTTCTTTTTATTTATTTATTTTTTCTTTTACCTTCAAATATGGTTTGAATGGCCTCATGATTAGATTTGAATAAATGATTAGAATTGTGGTGGCATCTGATCATGGTGAATGAAGCACTGCATATAAGATGGGAAAGGATTATGACTTAATTTCATGGGGTCAAAGCTCTTTAATTGTTTCTTAGCTGACTTGGACAATTACAGACCATTACTTTCAGTTCTCCTCACATTGTCTATTTTAGCTAACTGCTGTCTTTGTTTAAGAAGTTTTGAAACATATGTTTCTTGTTTAAAAAGCTGTCAAACTGTGGCAGATTTTTTAAAAGGAACGTGCTGACTGTGGAAATAAAGCTGGAATGAAGATAACAGCAGAGATCAATCAATTAGCATGAAGCAGTGACAGTGATTTTGGTAGGTCTGTCTTGCGAAAACTAAGCAACTCATAAAGTGTTTTCCTCTTGTATAAAAATGTGAGGGAGTGACCATTTCATTTTCCATAAATATTTGTGTCTAATGGTAGTCACTGACACTACAGGAGTTCTCGCATCAAAATTTTCTTAGCTAGCCTTATTCCCATTAAAACTACCTGGGTCCTCTCAGTCTTCTGCTTTGACTTTCTTGGTCTTAAGTGAAAAAGAGTGAATTCCCTGCTCGCTGATGTGCACAGTTGTCACTACTCTTTGAAAGCTTGCATGTAACGAGGTAAGGGAAAAAAACACAACTCCTCTGAAATTTGAGTTTTGTTAATTACTGCAGATCTTCAAACTGATTTTTCCTGTTTGCTTTTTCTCTCCTAGCAAGTTGTACAGAACACAAACACAAAAAAGCGAAAGCAAATTCACTTCCCACTAGGAATCCATTGCGCCATCTGATGCCACCTCAGCTAGAGTCTTCTACCTGAAGAGAGATTTGTTTAATCTATAACTCTGTAATTCTGCATAGGTATTGCCTTTTACAACTCTTTTAGCCAAGCAGGATCAGATTAACAGAAAGTCTGGAAGTCAGTCACAGTGTTTTCCCTAAATTTTAATTCCTCCACTGATGACTGTGTGTATATAGGAAGCTTCCCAAAAGGAAGAGGGTTGGGAAAACAGCATAGGAGGGAATGACCTGAGGTTTACCATAGGGAAGTCTATGGTAATTCAGGTTGTCATGTTGTGCAAACTAAGGGCTAAAGTGGCAGTGAGGGCTTTGAAACTGAAGTGAAGTGTGGCTGTTTGTGTGTACCTTATCTCTGTTACCTAGACCAAGTCTGAATTCCAAAAGGGAAGATTTCATTTAATAACTAGTGTGGTGAAGTGTAAACCTCACTTATATGAAAAGCCCTGTTACAGGGTGAAGGCTTGGAATCAGGAAAGGGATAGTGCGGGGTGTGTGTGCGCGCGCCTCCTGCATAAACATTTGTTCCTGTTCTACTGATATGGTGTTTCCCTGGAAGTGGGTATGATTGTCATGTTCTGTGACTCTGAACAAGCAAGTCACTTCTACACAGTTTCCCTATGTTCCCTCTCTCATCTGCTACACTGTATCTGCCTCAGAATTTGGATTTTACTACAATACAAGTAGCAGGAAAAAAAAAGATTTTTTTTTTCCAGTGGGTTATTCTATATTGACTTTTCAATATGATGCTTCAATATTAATATGAGGAGAGGGAGGAAAGGCAAATTCCCTCTCACTAGAGTTTCTGTTTTTCCTGAGAGTACAGTGAAAAAATAATAGCTTATGCATCACAGGAAATCAGAAAATCAAAGGTCTATCTCTGTTTGCAGTGATACTTTCTGCTTGATCTCTCTCAGCCAGTTGGTCAGTAGCACTTAGACTCAGTTGTATATTGTCTTTTTTTTTTTTTTTTTTTTTTTTTTTTCAGAAAAAGAACAAAATAATTTTCTTGCCTGGAGATAAAAGAACATGTTATTCTAAATAAATATTTAATTTCATTCTTGTAGAAAAAGAAATGTTTAAAGAGTAGAGGACATCCACAGATAACTGGTTATAATGATGAAAAGGAGTGGAAAAAAAAAAGAAAAGGCTATCATCTGGTAGTGATAAACTTTCAGGATGACAGTACTGACAATATTGAAAGATATATTTTTTAGATCTTCATAACTAACCTGTTCAATTGCTTTTCCCTACAAATATCATTTACCCCACATACCTAATAAGTTTCAAAAAAGGTAAAATATGAAATGGACATTCATATGGATTACCCATAATTACATTGCATGGCTTTAGTAACGAGAACAAAATAAGTTACACAACCAGAAAAGATATTCCTCAGTCTTCAGGCTTTAATTACAAACTGTTTATTGGGTTAACATGAAATAAGATTTTTTTAACTATTATTATATATATATATATATTTATTTATTTTTTATTTTTTTTTACAGAGAGAACTTCTTCAGAATACCATCTACCAATTTTTCCCCCTCAAATATCTGCTGTTGTCTGTAATGACTGGGTCAGTTTCAATGTTTATTTTCAGCCAAGAAAATATTCTCGTGTTCCTAAAGGCACAGAAGTCTAACATTGAATAAGGTGTTATGGTTTTCCAGGTTGCTTTGTGATTTCTTTTCATGAATATTAAACAACCCAGGTGATGATTTCTCTTCTCTGGCCTTTCTTATAGTAATTGTATTAAACACTTTTCAGGTATGTGCATAAAATTGATTACAGTTCTTCTAGGATAGAGAATCCCAGTTAGTTCTTCTAGCAGAGATTATAAAACATTGCACAATGAAACTCATTTTTCAAATCAATGACTTAAATATTAGATTAAGAAATGGTTTGAAGTTGTCTATTCTTAGTAAAATTAGAGCTATTAATAGAGGTTCCTTTCTTAATATATACATTTTCAACTTTTAAGGAAAATAATATTTGTAGACGACTGCACCAGAGAAAAACTTATTACATATATTTTATAAAATTATTTTTATAAAATCATTTTTTTTAAAATTAATTATTTATTTATTGTGAAAAAAACTTTTTCTGGTCATTTATAAATCACAATTTATATTAGTTTCTATGTGGAATATATAATGATTTTTCCATTATTAAACAAAACCAAGGTTTTTAAGGAGGTCAGTCAAAGAAGAGCTTATTGTTATAGATGTGAATACTAAATGATGACACAGTGAAATAGCTGTTCTTTCTGATCCTTATTCAGTCAAAGATTCTTACACAGGTGTGAAAATACCTAAATATGGTCAATTTGCTTTGTTCATTAACGTAAATTGATCACCTGATCTGGTAACAATGTTTTTCAATCTTCTCATGTCTTCAAAACTCTTGTCCAAAAAGACAAATATAAATATTAAGACTGTGTATTCTTTGAACTGCTAGATAAAAAGAGATTTTTGATATGCCCTCACTATCTTTTATGTGCATCTTTGCAGCTCATCATTTAAGGTAATGGTTTTAGAAGATTGGTCATAACCATAATCTTCTTTCAGAAGATTGGTCTATGACACTGCAGCTATGGATATCTTTTACTCTGATGATCCAAATAATATAATAGGCGGATAGATAATTTAAAGTATATTTTGTCCTAGGAACCTATGGGAAATAAAAGTAGTAGTAGAATAATCTATCTCTATCTCTTTTTACCATGCCATCCCTTCTGCAAAAAATTGGCCTACTTTCATTTCTCAAGACAATGAAAGCATCCTCACTGGAGGACACTACTTTCTTTTACAGTAGAAAGCTGTTCAGTCATTATTCAACTGAAGAAATTACTCCTTCAAACACAGACAAATGGTTATATTCTGCTAACAAATCAAAGACACAATGTCAGAATACAGCAAATACTGCCTGTTGTAACATTTTATGAGACTTACTCACTGTCTCTTCAGGTCAATGGAAAGTCACTGACTCATTTGTAATGGGCTTTCAATATCATTTATTATTTATTGCAAAGCACAGAGAAGATAATACATTTTAAGTACCTGTTCCTAATGAATTGGCTATGCTAAGTGGAATGGTAGGACTCAGTTTCTTATACACATTATCTTATGCCACTGTAGTGTCTTTAAGCCTGTTTGTCCTCCAGACTCTGCTCTGACTTGTGCCCCTCCCAAAGTCTCTGTCCTATCTGTCAGGCCTGTGCTGAAGTCAAATGATGCCGGTTATTTCCAGATAGATCTTATGCTTTGGGAATTGCATTATGCTCTCAATGTCTGAAATACTATTATTATTTCTACTACTACTTTTAAGGAAGGGTGCATTTTGCTTATTGAAAGGTATAACAAAATAATGTAATGACTGTTCTAACTTTGTGTCTGTGTCTAGCTTAAATTCAGTTTACCTTCCTGCAGAAGTACTTTTTTTTTTTTTTTCATAATCTGGGGACATATTTGCAATTATTTCTGCTTATAGTAAATGTATGGTCCTGCAAGCGTATGCAACATAGCAGGTTATAGACTTAGTTTTTATTCTGATTTTGCTCAAGCTTCTTTTAAATTAAACTCTACAATGGTCAATCATTTTCAAACAGAATGTCGAAGTGTTTTATTCCAATAACTTCTCCACCTACCTGTCTGTAACTAAGAATATGATTAACTTTGAGGAACAAAATTTAAGTATTCTTACTGATATAACTAGGTGGAAGTAGCGTAGTTTTAGTGTAAAAAATAACAATGTAAGAACAAACAAAAGTGTGAATCTTTCAGCTGGAGAATAACATTTTGAGATGCTGATCATTGTTAACCCTTGCATTCAATATAAGTTGAAGGCTTCAGAGCTTGACAGAAAATGTTCTGTACTTTCCAACACTAAGTGCTGGGCTGCGTGCATTGTCTGTATGCCAGTGACCTACTTATAGATAGGTAGGCTCACATTTGTTTCTGTCATGCCAAGAAAAAACAGAAAACCCAAATTCTGAATCAAATATAATCTCCTAGGTGTCAAATAAACACATCAAAATACATGTACTACTTTGGTAGTTTTTGTCCTGACTCTGCTGTCAATTGAGGAGACTTTCCTGAATCCACTCTAGAAACGAAGGTTTAAAATTAGTGTCAGTGAAGATGTGTAATAAACAGTGATATTGCATAAACTCACTTTAGGATAGAATAAAACTTGTGGTTAAAAATTAGTGAGAACAAAATATATGCCATCTTGCTATCTGTCGACCTTTTGTTATGTTGAAGCATCTTGTTAATTGAAACATCCCGTTATCTGTCGACCCTCAGTCAGGCTTAGACTTGAGATAACTTGAGTCAACCTTCTGTTATGTCTGAGACATCCCGTTATCTGCCGGCCCTCAGTTAGGCCAAAAGCCAACTCAGCATTTCTACAGCTTGGAAAACAACTGATTCATCCTACCTGGCATTTTTTAAGCAAAAGGTGAAAAGTGCATCATGAGGAACACCTATGGTCTTCCTCCCAAAGACCACTGCCCACATCCCGAAGACCCCAGCCCACAATTCTTGGAAGGCTTTACGCAAGCGCAAGGACTGATAAGCTAATTAGTATACAAAGTGAGAGTAGGCGGGTTTAGGTAATGAATATGTATAGGCATTAATAGAATATTCATCGTTTTGCTGTATAAATATGAGACAGTTTGTTACTTTGAACATACATGATAAGTGGAATGTTCATCCTGTGCATCCAGCGCTGCAATAAAGAATATACCACTTAAGGAAATTTTGGCTACGATCTTTACATCAACAGGAATGAGGGAAAGGCTTGAAGTGAGACAATCATTTTTTAATTTTAAGTGTGGATTTTGAACTGGTTTACCTCCTTTCTAGTCTTCCCACTCTAGTCTTCAGCTATAAGCTTATTGAATGTACTTGAAAATGAAGGTCTGAGAGTACAGTTTATGAAACAAAGTGTGTCTGGAATGATGATGGGGACCAGCAAGCCTAACTTGCTGATCTGTAGACTCTTCTTCTGCAGTGGTTTCTCTGTCCTGAGAAGCAAATGGATCATATATATATATATATATATATTTTTTTTTTTTTAATTCCTAATGTCTTATATATCTGCTGCTTTCATTTTCTTCAGGGAAATAAAACTGCTGTATGAAATCAGGTGACAAGAAGATTCATCTGTGATACAGTAAAATAAATGTACTGGTTAAAGTAGCTGTCATGGCAGTGTGAAAAAGACCCCTGTTTTTATTTTCTTGCAATATTTATGCAGAAATGTAAGCTGTGGGGTTTTTTGCACCCAAAGATCATTTGAAAAACTGACATGTTCTCTCTCACGTAGTTTGTTCTTAGCTGTGATCTGGAGAAATTCCAACTGAAATCTGGAAGGGGTGAGTATGACTTCTTCTAATAAAGTAATGTGGCACTATTCCCAGAAGCTTGGCTCTAAATAGAAGACAGCAATCAAGAAAATATATTTTTATTCTTTTTTTCCCTTGAATATCTGCACAGTATCAGGTAAGAAGTTAAAAACCTTAAGCAATTCTCTTTATTTTATTTTATATTTTATTTTATTTATTTTTGTAATTATGAATTATTAAAAAAAAAAAAAAAACGATAAAAGATCCAGCTGTAGTGGGTTGAACCAAGGGATGAAGTTGAGTTTTCTAAACATAAAGTTTAGAGTTACTTGAGAAGTTCTCTATGAGTCAAAATATTTGGCTAAGATTCAAACATTCAGATACAGACATTCAGGATTTATTAGATACCTGCATCTGACTGGGATGGCAACTGGAGTTGCCAAAATATGCTCTGTCTAATATTTGTCTGATGTGACACTAGGGTTTTACATTAGAAATCCAAGGATCAATGTTCAGGTTGACCTTATGCCCCAGGTTTACTTGGACTTCAATGCATACAAGTACTATGTAAAATAACACACTTTGGCTGACCTCACATTTTCACATCTTTAAGCAGGCTACAAAAAACTGCATTCCTGTTGCAAATGGAAAGTACTAAACTGTACATATAAATCTAATACATAAAGAAAGTGATGCGTGGTTTCTATTGAATAATGACCAGTAAATGACCAGTCTTTACATTTAAGTCCAAATGTGCTACTTGAAAAGGACAGGACAGACTGTCTTATAAATGTAAGTGCTCATTTTACTTTGCTCTATTTTTGAATCTTGTAAAAGCTAGGGAAAAGGCAAAGCCTAGAAGTAATATAAGAGGTACATGAATCCAAACAAGACTGTATTCTTCCGTTCCATTCACTCTTTTTGTGTTCTGTAACTAGTGTAAAGTAAGAATGATTTAGGTTTTAAATACATAAAAAATCTGAGATAAGACAACAAGAAGGGACAGATCATATATTTTCTTGATGGAACAGAGGAGCCAGAGAATTGTTACTTAATATGCTGATTTTGGTTTTCTTTCATCTGAATTCTCCAAGTGCCATAAGACTACCAGAGTTAGTGCCTTCTTGGGAATGAACCAGATCAATAAACCTCTCTCTAAACTCTGGCTGCTGAAAAGCCTTGGGACAGTGCAGGGAAGCAAAGGGCAGAAGGCTTCTTGTTGTGAGGAACGATGAAAATTATGTTAAGGCTGAGTGAAGGCTTCATCAACTAAGGGCCAGTGAAGGCTTTATAGGTCTAATTGGCAAGTAGATTATAAAGTACAAAATTATAATCCAAGAAATCCCTTCTCAGTAAACACACCTTGAAGCC